TAGAGATCATTTTAAGCCGGGGATTAGAAGGGATGCTAATCTACTCAATTTAGACTCAATTACGCTTAAGTAAACTCAAAAAAAGAAAACTAAAACTCAAAACAAACTAAATAGACTCAAAACACACAAACTAAGTTAAATTGACTCAAAACAGATCCTAGAAAGTGATTTGGACGAAAATTGAACTAAAAAGACTCAAAAGACTCAATATGGACAGATTCTGACGAATTGAAACAAAACTAACACAAATAAAAACTAAAAGGTTATTTGGACGAATTTTGACCTTAACTTAACTCTAAACACTAATAGAACTAAACTTAAACAGATTCTAACTAAGTTAAAATACTAAATATTAAAGGGGGATTGATTTTGACGAAATTAACTAAACTAGGCAGATTGCAAAACTAAACAGGTTAGACACTAAATTGGTTGAATTAAAGGTGAAAGGCTTGTTAGAGGGTCCTTCTCCACACATGACATATGCATACAAACCAATTTCCAGTTATTATTCCTTTAGACTATGAATGACAACGCTCCAAGTTAATTGCATCGCACAACCAACCATCAGATTTTCCTTATTTCATTGAATTGAATGAATACTCATTACAATCAAATTATCTTTCTCAAGTTCTCTATATGAAACGCATAATAAAGATACATATCAAAAGTCATTAAGTTTTATGAAAATCATAAGCATTGACAAGGCATTCATCACTATGAAACGCATGAGACTCCTGCCAAGGATTCACTTAACACAATCATGACTAGTGACTTCCACTACTTGTGAATATAAACGAATAACTATTACGTAAAACTCCCTTATATTTTAGCATCAAATTCATGCATGCAAACCAAGTATCGATCCTCAATCAACATACATAAACAAGTTTTAATAACTCAGATAAGCAAATCACATTCAAGACTCAAGAAATAATAACTAGATGTAATTAATTCATATAAAACATATAATTATGGCTTCGAATTCACCTCCAACCATAAAGAAATTAGTTCCTCATGTTCGCAAAACAAAGATAATTAAACTAAAACATTGAAAACAAAGATAGAATACACCTAGAAACACTCCAGGTGGCTCCTCCTTCCTTCTTTGCTGCGGCACAATGGGGATTTGCTGAATTTAGGCTCTTGAGGTGTGGTGGATGGTGTGGTATGAAATTGTGGTAGAGGGTGGTGCTTATGAGTGCTGCGGCATAATGTATTTATAGGGTGAAGGGAAGGCACGAAATTGGGCTGAAAATGAGAGGAATTAGGACTCCAAATCACCAAAGAACAAGGACACCTTCAATCAGATTCCAGGGAGGACAAGGAATGGTCTTTGTGGCAAATTCTAGAACTTCTAAAAGGATTACATGTGGCATAAACTTAGGGCACAAAAATAGGGCTTCTAGAACCTGATATTTAGGTGATTTAATGTGAAAATGAGTCCTCTTTGTAGCTGGAATTAAGGTAGCAAAAGATTAGGATAGGATAAGATAGGACAAGGTTTGGATAGATAAGATTGGATAATGTTCCATGTTTCTTGCTCTTTCCTTATCTTCTTTGTCTTGAACTTGTTTCTCCAGATTTGTAGCATGTTCCTAGCCTCTTTTGACTTCAAATTCGTCCATCCACCTTGCTCCATATGCAAACTATCCATTCCATGCCCAAAACTGCTCCAAATGGCTCCAAAATGCACTTTCTTGTCAACTTTGCCGTTAGGACCTACAAACACACGAAAATAGCTTAAAACACTATAATAAATGAAAACTAACTATGTAAATGCAAGAAAACAAGCTAACTAAGTCACATAAATATGCTCCTATTAGCATGAACCCGATTAAAACTTGAAAAAGTTGGGCAACCCGAAACCAACCCAAGTAAACCCGAACCTCGATTAAACTCGAACCTGAATGAACCCAATTAAAACCCAACCTAAACCTGAACCAGAATTGTAAAAGTTGGGTTAGGGTTGGGTTTACCTTCTAACCCGCCCAAGTTGCACCCCTAGCCACTAGCAGTAGCAGCTGTACTTTCATTCCCCTATTCTTTTTCTCGTCCCCTGCCTCCATACTCCCTTCGTGTCCCTGCCTCCAATTTCTCCATTCTTCTCTATAACCCGCATCCAGCCTTCATCTTGACAGCCCATTCTCGTCGTCTCTCTGTCTCGCCGTCTCGATAGCCTACCCACATCCCTGCGACATCTAAGTTATAATTTCTTCACGATTGGTCACTTCGTTTCTCAATCTTCTCACTCTAGGCTAAGATCCCCATTCTCTCTTATTTATTTTGTCGATTTATGAGTTTTTTTAGGGTAAATTCAAGAGAGGGAGACTGAAATTTTGGTGTAAATTTATGGGTTGTTGTTTTGGTTCGTATTGCAAATTTGTTCAATTTTTGTGCTGTGGGTTTGTTATTTGAATTTCAGATGAATGAATGTAATTATTGCTGTGAGTTGTGGATTAAGATAGTAGTTTGATCAATTATGTGTTTGTGTTGCTCTTGGTGTTGCAGATTTATTTCTTTACCAATTTCCAGATTTATTTGTTTATGAATTTTCAGATTCCAAAAAAAAAAATCATGAAAAAACTGAATCAGACTGATATCGAACCGAATTGAACCGAACCAAATAGTGATTTTGGTTTGATTTTCGATTTTGGCCAAAAACCGAATCAAACGGAACGGAACCTAGCCCTATCTAGGAGTGTATGTCAAGTTCTGAACTATTTAAGACTATGCATACATACGCGAGGGCAAATGGGCAAAAATTAATCCATTCGCTGTGGAACATGGCAGGTCAACTCTTTGATGATAATAAGAAAATTGCTCAAATGTGGAAAAGCAATGCCTTTTTTTTTAAAAAAAAATTATTTTAAATTTTTAATAAACTAGCCTCACAGGACGTGGTGGGAGGTAGGGCTTTTATTTATTTTTTATTTTTATATTAATACCGCACATTTTTTTGGACATATGGTGGAGGAGAGGTTTTTTCTTTATATTGGACACGTTCTGGTCCTTCTGGACCCTCTGGATTTCGTAAATGAATAATTGGATTGCTCATAGCGGTTATAGTTAGAAACTAATATATGTTTATACACGAAGTTTGTGAAATTTATTATTTTTTATTTTAAAATTGAAGGATAAAAGAAGAGAGAGCATAAGAGTGGGGGAGAGAGAAACGGGTTTAATTTTGTTATTTTAATGTTTTTTAAATTAAAGATGTTAATATCATTTGTATATGATACTTTAACAAAAAAAAAGCAAAATTTTAGTTTGTGAAATTACGTTATTGTTCTTATTTTTTTTTTTTTTGTGATAGATGACTAAGTATCTTTTCACTTTCTTTTAATTGACAAAGAGAGTTCTATTAATATATAGTTTAGATTAGAAAGAATTTTTATCATAAATGATCATTGAAATTGACTCACACCATTAAGATAATTTCTGAAATTAAAAATCAATCAATATCGTTCATCTGTTTGAATTCTATTAAAAAATTCGTTACTATTTTGATGTGGCACATTATAGGCTCCCACTCAAATATTATAATGACATGTGGATTAGAAAATCAAATTAATTTTTTTAATTTAGCCCTTACACTCTTACCTCTCCTCCTCTTCTCCTTTTCGTGTTTCCATCAACATAGAAGACAACCATAAAAAAGAGCGAATTGAGCGATTCCAACCGCAATCTCATGAGGTTCGGCTTTGGGTTTCCTTCCCCGTTTGCGAAAAATAAGAGGGGATGGTTGCTTGAATTGATCTCCCTCGCCAAAGATTCTCGCATTTCAGGAATACTCCCTTTCTTTTTCTGCAATTTTTCTGTCCTGGTCCTTCGAGAAAGTCGATTTTTCGTCAAATATGCAATTGAATTTTGTTGTGAATCCACAATATAATTTAAGTTCTGGGTCCCTCAGCACCTTGGCGCATTCCTTCTGCGTACCACGAAAACAGGACCTAAGGCAGTTCTTTATTGGATAAATTACATTTTTAGGAAATTAACGAAAAATGTTTGAAAATTTTGAGTTTTAATGTTAAGGATAAAATAAAAAGTAAAGTGAATAGTAGCAGGATTGACTTTTTAGTCTAAAAATGTGGTTTTTCGTTAAAGTGAACAGTACTGTAAGTTTTTTTTGTTAAAACTCTCATTCTACCTCAATTTTGAGTTACATAATAAACTCTAAATTACATTTTTAGCAAATTAAAGAAAAATGTTTGAAAACTTTGAGTTTTAATGTTAAGGACAAAATAAAAAGTAAAGTGAATAGTAGCATGATTGACTTTTTAGTGTAAAAATGTGGTTTTTTGTTAAAATAAGTTTTGTTGTTAAAACTCCCATTCTACCTCAATTTTGAGTTACATAATAAACTCATACTTTAATGCTTTGAACATTAAAATGTCTTACATTAATTTAGAGTTTCATTATAGTATCATACATCCGTTGGCCAATCCATCAAATTGATTGATGTGGCAAATGTAAAACCCATATTTTTGCTGATGGGGATTTATTTTCAGACACAGTAGAAATCTAACATATAACCCAAAAGCTTCTCAAACTTCACAGATTCACACTCCCGTTGCGTGGAGAATCATGCCATGCTCAGGCTCAATGACCATGGTATAAACTGGAGAATGCGGGTATGTTGGCGAGAGGGAGAAACTGAACTTTGACAGAATCAAAGAAAGCATCACCTTAAGTTCTATTATGGCTAAGTGTCGGCCAACACAGATACGAGGACCGTTTCCAAATGGAAGCTTGTGAAGACTGGCAAGCCGAATGAATTCCATTGGCAAATCTTTCTGGGTTGAACTTATGTGCGTCTGGCCCCCATAAATTTACAGATGACTTATAAGGAATTCAGTGTTAGCATGACAGCATGGGTTCGAACTCCGTCGTTGGCTTATCTAACATCTATTCTAACAAAATATATTGTTTGATCTAAAAAACAAAAAAAAATGAAGCAGATTGAACCTTGATTGGTTGAGCTTGCTATAATACTTATTTCATTGACAAAAATAAAGGATAAGATTACATTCATAACATTACAAGTTACATAACTAACGAAAGATAAAATCTTGTCAAAACTTGTTCCTAAAGCGTTAAAGACGCGTATTAATAAAGACTTAATACTGATCAAACAGGAAAACAAATAGGATACAATCATAATCTTTATTATACTAGAAAATTCCAATAAAGTATAAAAAGAACAAAACTCAAAACTTAAAAATAGACCAAATTCCTAAAGAGCATAATTTATATCCTCGCCATGGTCCTTGGAAAACCCTGGACCAACCCGGAATGGCCAATGCTGGGGTTGACAGAACAAAATGCAAGAAGCTCTTGATCAGACTCAAATATGGCCATTTCTTTTTCATCCAGGGTCACCCAAGCTTCGATACCATCTTTCTCTTTTGTGGCAACCAAAACAATTATGTTCTTGAGGACACTTAGGCTTGTGACCCACGCAGGTTTCTCCCATCCAAAATCCATTTCATACAGAGGAAGCTGGCACAAACTTGTGGTTTTATAAACATTTACGTTGTTATTGCTATTAAAAATATCAGCCCTCTCTCTTACACACTCAGATACCACTAAAAATCCATTCTCACCTTTAAATCCGCTGGCCTTCTCATTGCGAAATTCTGTCACTCGTTGCGTCATTTTGCTCACCAAATCGTGTAATTCAGTCTCATTTTCTTTTAACAACACTGGAATTGACCAAAACCAATTCCCCATGACATTTTCTGATATCTCCGGGACGATTCTTTTGCGGAAGCTCACCATTTGGGACACCACCGTTGGCTTGATCGAACTCTCAGGCTTGCACTGACGAGAAGCAGCAATAGAACATCTCAAAATCATAGCCAAAACAAGTTGTATGGTTGATGGGATGAAGGTTTGGACAACACTTCCAATTTTTGTCTTGAGACTGACTACCTTCGAGACATCGAATACAAACCTTCTTGCAACTAAACTTTGACTCCGGATTTCCAAGGATCCCTTGATGGACGGCAAGGATAGCTCTCTAGGCGGCAACAAAGACCCTCCAATAAACTCCGGCGGCACCAATTGCTGTCCGAGGGCTCCATCATCACGATTTATCGCTGCCCATGCTTGCACGAACGTGAGGACTGATGCTGCATCTGCAATCTTGTGCGAAGGGGACACAGCAACAACAATTCCTCCACAGTTGAAAATGCTGATTTGAACCAGCAAAAGTGTAGATCCCAAAGCTACGTTGGCAGTTTCAGGATCATTTAGGGCCATTAAGCGGTGGAGTAACTCGGGATTGGGTTGTCTGAGAAGGTCTGAAAGCTGGCAGTTAACTCGGGCTTCCAGAAAATGAGCCCCTTCATCATTGCACTCAACTAACGCCGGGCTTTTGAGTTGGCCAGCCATTGGATAGAAATGAACTAGAGTTTTGGATAGAGAATCTTGCAAGCGTTTAGATTTTCTTGTAGTACTCTCTGAAATTTTGGAAGCAAAATCCGAAGCATTGTGGTTTGGGAAGAACCATAGGATGGTTCCATATAAAGTAGAAGGCAAACGTTGGTCCAGAAGAGAGAGGTTAAGAATTCTATTGTGAGGAGGAGTTGGAGATGATGGTTTGATGGTCTTTCTTGAGGTTATTTCCACCAGTGAATTGATATCACAACTACTGAGTACTGTACCATGTCGAATTGCCATTTTTGATCGAGTTGGAGATGAGGGTTTGAGGGGTTTGGTGATCTAGATTAAGGTAGAAAATTAATTAGGAGGAAGTCGTTTGTCAGATCGATCTTGGAGAATTTATAGAAACCGAAGAGATTGTTTAACATCCACCGACCATTTTTTTTCCTTTAATATTTCCCCTTGTAGGAGAAAATTTTCGTTATGATCAAAACACAGGTGGTACACTACGTGCTTTTCATATAAGTGGTGAGAAAATTTATTTTTTAAGTTATTAGCATTTTAACACATATATCCCACCATTTATATACTGACACGTGATATAGCATCCTATGTTCTGATTACACCAAAAAATCTCTCACATTATAGATAGAATGCGCAAGTACTCTGATTAAGTAATGTTCATTAACTATAAAAAAAAAAAAAAAAAAAAGACCAAAAATATAAACTAGAAACAAGCATCTGACGGTTGGATTTGTAATCGTTTTAGCCTCTTGCAAGCAAATGTTGACCCAAGTTTAATCATCAAAATTGCACGTCATCTTCACATCATATAGCGTTAATAGAACTTTATAAGGCTGAATATTTCATTACCCTTAGACCAACTTCAATGGTGGGTTAAAAGTCAAATTACTCCTCAAAATTTCCCCCCAAACCCACTCCAACCCAAGGGAAAATTTTGGGCTAAATGCTAAATGCTAAACCAATGCCAAATTCCTCCCAAAATTTAGCCCAAAAATCGGAGTGGACTCCACCCAATATTTATCGGAATTTAAATTTTTTTTAGATTAAAATGTTCATAAAATTAATTTACGATATTCTATATATTTATTTTTTTTTAAATTTAATTTAACAAAAAAAATAGCCTAAGTTCATTCTTTAATAATTCCGGGCTAAAATTTTAGACTAAAACGGTTGGAGCAGAAAAGCGGTTTTTGGGCTAAAAGTTAAATTTTCCGGCTAAAAAATTTGGTTTTTAGCCCAACCACTGGAGATGGTCTTATTAATTCTTTAGGGTTTACAATATATAGGCATATATGCTTTAATCTATAAGAAAAGATATAGAATGATTACAATTTAATATGGACAAATCCTACTCCTGGTGAAAAAGGACTTCTGAAATATTTACAATTTATTACGTAAGTCAACACTCCCCTCATGTTGGTGCATAGATATCTTACATGTCCAACTTGACAAGTAAGTCATTAAACACTCTACTACACATTGCATGAGCAAGAACATCAGCAAGTTGTTTCTCTTAATTTATGAATGGAACTGAGACAATTTCCTTTCGAGATTCTCCATAATCATCAAAGTGTATCAAGCTCCACATATTTTGTTCTATCACGCCGTACAAGAGTATCTACTATTTCTCTTGCAAACTATTGACACGTAACAATTTCATCGCTTCTTTTGGTTTGAAACCAAGACATTGCAAAATTTTACGTAATCAAAGGAGTTCACACATTCCTTGTGCCATGCCCCTATATTTAGCCTCGGCAGAAGACCTTGACACCACTTTTTGTTTCTTAATACCCCATGTAACCAAGTTACCTCTAATAAGCGCAGTGCCATACCCCTATATTTAGCCTTAGCAGAAGACCTTGTGCCATACCCCTATCATACTCATTTTTTATTTACTACTTTGTTTATTGATATATGTGTTTGATGCATATGAATATTATCTAATTGCTTGAATTTACATGCAAATTATGAGTATAATGATTTTTCTTATCCTACAACTAGAGCCGTAGATTATGATGATAACTGTTTCATAGTGATTTGAAAGCCCCAATAATTCTGTTTTTTCTGTCATTGACTAAATTATCCCTACGTTTATTGCATCAAATAGAAGTTGAACCTTTTATATGCCATTGCATCTTCTAGAGTTATCAGACACATAATTCAACAAAGAGATTTTTTGTAATCATATTTTGTAGATTTTTTTATTTTTATTTTTATTCTTTTTCTATTTTTTTTATTTTTGCTCCTCTTGGCACCACTACTAATTATAGTACATGACAGGAAGGCATCAACCATCATGGGATTTTTTTAATTTTTATTCTGTCATCTCCATCGCCTCTGTCTTTCATAAGGAATAATCTGCACTGGTTTATCCCTTCTCTTAAAGGCGGAGGCAGTAACAAGTGGGCTCTAGTACAGAGGGAATTTTAGTTGTTTAATGTTAAAAATACTAATAATTTAGACTATTTTATTATTTTTAACTGTTATAACCTATCTATAAGTAAATGTTTTGAATTATAAGACTACTTTTTAGAAAAAGTGAGAGTTATTAACTATTAAAAAAATATTTACTTTAATAAATATCAAAATTTAATAGTTTATATTTCCAATCGTACATACTCATCTCTAGTTTATAGGTTTATAGGTCTTTTTATTTGGTTAGTTTCTAGAGAGTAGTCTATAGTGATTAGTTTAGATTTCCTAGGAGTAGTCATCCGGTTTTAAAAAGTAGGTTTAATATTTTATTATTTTTGGTTTCCTAGGACTACTTTCTTAATTTATGTTTTACTTTTGGGGTACATCAGTGGCCGCTTTTCATTTTTCAAAAGGCTTTTTTCTTGCTTGGAGTTCACGTAAACCAAGCATACAAGCGAGAAAGTTGATTGATTTTTCTTATCAATAGGTAAGTTTTTGACTACTTTATTCTTAAGTCTTGATGATTTTATTTGTTTATTGCTTTAATTTTAAGAGTTCGTACTTTAAAAATTCAGTTTCAAGTTTAATATATTTTTTCTGATAATTTGATAGATTTCTTAGAAATATAATTTATTATATAAACTTGTATTATTGTTGTTCAATTTGTTAGGTTAACGTCCAATGAAGATGTTAAGAACTATTGATTTATTCTTTAAAAAAGAAAAAGATGATGGTGATAAATTAGAGAGTGACATACCTTGTGAATAGGTACTTTTCAATTTGTGAGGTTCAATGAAGATGTTAAGAACTATTGATTTATTCTTTAAAAAAAAAAAAAAAGATGATGGTGATAAATTAGAGAGTGACATACCTTGTGAATAGATACTTTTCAATTTGTCAGGTCACGTTCAATTCCATTAAGGATCGAAGGACACAACTTGAATATATACTTTTTCTTTTATTTGTTAAGTTGTTATGACAAGATTGATGATGTATATTTCTTTCTACTATAAGTTGCAACTTCAAATGTTTTCTTTGTTAAATCTAGTTGAAACTTGCTTTATTCATAGTTAAATTTCTTACTTTAAATTATTGCTTTCAAGCTTGTTATTGTGTAACTTTATGTAAGTAACAAAAAAATTTAACCATTTGATCTCGTAGTATAATTTAGTTTTAGCCCATCCACCAAATAATTTTTGGCTCTGCTATTGCCTTCTCTATCCTTTTTTTTCTATCCCATATCATGGGATTTGGAATCAAAGGCATCAACTATCATCAAAATCAAGGGCATGAATTTGAACAACGTAAGAAAATTGTAGCAGCGACCATGGAAGGGATAAAACGCACATGAGATGGGAGATCAGTTAAACTAGGGTAGAGAATAAATGAATGTGGAAGGGACATGGAGAGTTGTTTTATTTCTTTCTCATAATAATTTAATTGTAATTTATGTTTACTTATTTCCATGTCATTACCACATCACCTACTAGTTTAATGACTATCATGTTAACTTTTAATTATGACCATTAGACGTAAAAGGCTTCAAGAGCTAATAAGAAGTGTAAAAATATTTGTCAAAAAATTTGTCTCTTGATTCTAACCCCCATATATACATGTATGTATGTATATATATATAAAATACTGCTTATAGTGCACGTTTGAATTTCTGCAGAAGGTTTGGAATTCGTGTTCAGTATTTGCATCTGGAAAGGTTTGTTTGCAACGCTGCTTTTGGGAAAATTGTGTTTGAACCTTGAAGAAAATATAGGCCATTTCCTGAGAATGGACCCGCAAACTGTTTCTTTAATTGGTAAGCTGCTTGTGTTTTTTAAATGGAAGTTTATTGAGCAGAATGATAATTATGTTAGTGCTATGCGGCTATTGTGAAATAATTGAGTTATGATCATTTTAAACAATGGATTAGAATCTAGAAATTCTGCACGAAAACATGGTAGTTTGGGTTTCATATTGTATGTCGTAAAAATAGGCTGGAAATGTATATATTATGATCGAGTGTTATGAGTTCTTTTCTCATGGAATGGCGATTTGAGATCTTTACCATAAGATCATTCTTTCTCATGGTATGGCGAACATTTTATTTTTCAACCAGTGTTAGTGAACATGCTGCAAAGTAGTGAATTTGTGACATTGCATGCCTTTGTTATGAGTGATTATAGATGAACTATAGAGAAGGGTAATTTGAGATGAATGATTTTGCAGGCCTTTAACTTTTGAGTATTTAGTCCTTTCAATGCATTTGATGATAAAATAAAAAGTAAAAGTGTATATATAAATCGGTGTCATGCTACCATCAGATTTGGTCAAAACAATGTACTTGTTGATCATGTTAGGTTATACTAAAAAATAAAAATGAAAAAAAAGCCTAGAAAGTATATCTATGTTTTACTTTTTCATCTCTTCATTGGATGTTACAAATTATGAATTTTATGTTAATTAAGTCTTGCTTTGTTGAGCTTTGTTTTGTTGAGTTTTGATCATGAAAATGAGGCCACAAGAATTGATTAATATTTTGTCTTCAGTGAGGCATGTAAGTTACTCTTCAAGGTATGTAGTCTTACTGTAGGTTTAATACACAAAACTTTAAAGGCTTTTTAATTTATAGCAATGTGGGGGTTGAGTTCCACCATATTCGAAGTAATTATAAAATGGTTATGTGTGGAAGTTAATGTTGAAGCATACTGTGGATATCTATATTATTGTTGGATGTTCTCTTCGTTGTTTAACAGTATGGGTTTGTTTAACGGTATGAGTTAGTTTCCTAATTTTTGATGTCATTGCTCACCAGAACAAACAAATAATATTGAACTTTTATTCAAGGTGCGTATAATGACTCTTAATTTTGATATCTTATTGATTCGAGATTTTTCATGGGATTAATTTTCTAATAAGCACGTTAATGTGTGGGTATGTTTGATTCTCTTACTCTTGTTTATTGTAGTGAGGCTATGAATGATTATTCACCTTAATCTACT